TTAGGTAATCAACGAGCATGGATTTTTACCAAAACCTAATCAAATCTGCGCATTGGCCCAGAGCATCTATGCACCAAGTTTCATAAAAAAACCAATGTATGGTTCTTGAGATAGCAGTGGAACAGTCGGACACACATACACACACACACACACACACACACACACACACACACACACACACACACACACACACATACATACATACATACAGACACACTAACTGCAAAGACTCCCATTTTGTGCTTCGCACATGGGAGTAAAAAACGCGATCTCCATTGATGTCTGCTTCGACAACTTTGGACAAGTAAGATGGGCGCTGGTCGACATTACATTTGCAAGTATTGTATTTGTTTGACAAATTGTACACTACGGTCATTCTATAACAATCGATCAGTCGTTTTTTTCACAGTCTTACTATTCCTGCAGATATTCTTCAATTGTTATAGGTGCCACGGATTTTAACATAACTACAACTTGACCCGAGTTAAACCCAAACCATGCGTGCATGACAACCGTCACCTTACACACGGTTACTCAACAAATACCGTACTCTACAGTGGACATTTTTCGCTCTCCACCAAAAATAGAATGGTTTTATTTCATATTAGTTGTGTCTGTGTCAGTGTCGTATTTGATTTCACATGTTTGGTTCGATCTTGTTTATGGTGGACATTATTGCTACGCGCATGTATTATTACCAATTTTATATGGCCGTGTGATCCACCGTATTTTTTCAACGGTCGTTCTATAAATTTCTGATTGTATTTATTCTTATTTTAACATCATAAAAACAAAAATGATACACTTGTACATGAAACAGAAGGTAATGAACTGTAAATGCGGGCGGTTGCGCTGTCAGGCGAGCGAGCGAGCGATTGCGCGAGCGGATACTTCCGGATTTGCGCGGTCGAAAAAAAAGCGGAAATTGCGCGGTCGAATTGAACAAAGCGAGCGAAAAAAAAGCGATAGAAATCCGGAAGCGGGCGGGAGGTAGGGCGAAATGAGTACTGTAACTTACTACAATAGGCTACACACTTTGTTTTCAAATTCACATAAGTTGTAACTAGAATTGTAAACACCGGCTGCAAATCAGAGGAATGATTGACAGATACTTTAGTGTCAAATCAGTGCCTGGAATTGCTGTAATGAAATATGGTATCTATGCACAGTACATTCGTATTCCATTCTGTTTGTCATGGTAACAAAGTGAAACATAAGGTTTTTAACAAAATCAATTCGTTATTTGGCAAAAAAGGTACTTTTTATGTCATTAATACTGCACAAGTTCATGGTAGTCAAATAATCGGCAATCTCATTGCCAAACTGTGTTACAGTATTTTACTAAAGTTCAGGTCCATATATTCGATACAAGCAATGTTTGAAAGATGATTAATCTTGTACAAGGGATGGCATTGCTAACCTGGTTCCTGTAATTCAAGTGCTTCTTTAGCTTTACACACATTATCTCTGTCTTCTTTTAATCTTGCAAACTTTCCTTCTAATATCGTTAATGCTTTCAGCGCTGTATCAGGTTTTGTGTCGCCCTGAAAACATGAGAAATCAAAATATCAGCATACAACAGAGAAACTAGAACAGAAATAGCTTATATTCTCAACCCCGTTTCATCATTACCCACTCAACCTTAAGAAATTGCTGAAATGTCATGAATCTTACCTGCACTGGTTTTCCTTTCTCCCATTCAAGCAATAGATCAGAAGTTCTACATTCAACTGTCTCATCTTCTGATACAATCTTCATTTGCAAACTAGCCACCTAAAGACAATTACATAAAACAAGTTATTACACAAGACTACAAGCCTTTTTTTTTTAGAACAGTACAAGAGTTTGATTTTGACCAGTGATGTACATCAGCAAACCTTACTTGATAAACTAACAACAGAATATGACAATGAATTTCTAAGTTCTTGATATATACCTGTTGTTGAATAGCACCGTCTTTTCTCTTCATAATTTCATTAAAAGCTCCCCATTCACCATCCAAGTTATCTACATACAACCATGATGTTGGGAATTGGAAACGTTGCTTTTCTAGTAACCTCTGACCATGCTTGTACATCTTAAAAATACAAAAAGTAATTTATTATGATATAATCCAGCATAGCTTTGTTCTGTTGTACTGTATGTACAACACTAGTTTCCCTAAGGCACACTTATTTTTTTTTAAATCAATCACTGACACTTACTTCAACTTGACGTTCCCAGGATTTGACTTTTCTCTTCAAGCCTTGTACATAGGTGATAAAAGTCACTGCATCCGATGTACTCGCTGTGTCTATCGATTGGCTTTCTAAATCAGAACGAGACTGACAAAAAGAAGAGCATATTCAATCTGTGTAAACTTATGAAAATTACCATGATATGGCTTGCTAAGTTTTTTTATAAGTAAACAAGCAGCTTATCGGCTGAGATAGCTCCGCTGTTAGCAATGCACATTTCAATTAAAGAACTGAAGACATCATTAGAAAATGAACAATATGAATAGTATCAAAGCAATCAGACTTACAGTTTTTAACAAGAAGTCGAAAATATCACTTTTTACCAAAAATTACAAAAATATTCACCAAAATAAATAGAGAATTGAAGATATCATCACAAAACAAACAAATCTGAGAGAGGTCCACATGTAGTACCTATATATGTAGTATCAAAGCAATTGGAACTATTGGTTTTTAACAAGAAGTCGAAAATATCACTTTTTACCAAAAATGACAAAAATATTCACCAAAATTAGAGAATTGAAGATATCAACATGAAACAAGTCATTGTCAATGACACGTCCCCGTTCCGTTCATATTTGAGTGACATATACATTCAAAGCAGATCATGACCGAAATGCACCTGCATATGTTACAACACATTGTACTAAATCTGAACAAAATCCATGCATGCATGACTGAGATCCGGTTCTGGAATTGTGAAAATACGTGATTTTAATGCATTTTCGGCCTTAAAATGGCCATCATTCCGCTATTGCTAAGCGGATCATGAAACAAATGCACATATCTATTTGTGACATGATGCACCATGTGTGTGTGAAGTTTGAACTTGATCAATCCAGACATGTCTTGGATACGGATCCAGAACTGAATTCTTTAAGAAAATGGCCGCCAGTCGGCCATTTCGAACTTGATCCGGAAAAAAAAATGACGTGCATCAAGGTCCTATTATGTTTAATGTAAGTACCGAATTTGAACAAAATCCGTCCATGCATAACTGAGATCCGGGTTCGGAATGGTGAAAATGTGCGATTTCAATGCATTTTCGGCCTTAAAGCGGCCGCCATTTGGCTATCGTTAATGGGATCATGAAACAAATGCACATACATATTTGTGACATGATGTACCTTGTGTGTGTGAAGTTTGAACTCGATCAATCCAAGCATGTCTCAGATACGGATCCAGAACTGAATTCTTTAAAACAAAATGGCCGCCAGTCGGCCATTTCGAACCCGATCCAAAAAAAAAAAATGACGTGCATCAAGGTCCTATTATGTTTAATGTATGTACCAAATTTGAACAAAATCCGTCCATGCATAACTGAGATCCGGGTCTGGAATGGTGAAAATGTGCGATTTTGATGCATTTTCGGCCTTAAAATGGCCACTATTCGGCTATCGTTAATCGGATCATGAAAAAAATGCATGTGCATATGTCCCATATAATGTGTGATGTATGAGTGAAGTTTGAACTTAATCGGTCCATGCATGTTCGAGATACAGGTGATCACGGACGCACGGACGCACACAGGGCAAAACATAAGTCCCCGTTTTCGGACTGCGTCCGAACGGGGACTAAAAACCTTCATGGATTGGATAAGGCTTTTGTGACCCTCGGTCTTAAGGCTAACACAGCCTCGCAAGCTTGTATCCAGTCCATAAAGAGTATTATCATAAAAGTAGCAATTTATTTTGCGGCTTGTCTTCTAATAGACAATTCTTTTGTTTTTATTATAGCCATTGATTTATGTTAGGAGTCTTTTGTTTTAATTGTAAATACAATAGAAATGTATTTTGTGGCTTGCTTGTAACAGAAAATTCTTTTGTTTTTATTATAAATACCAGTTTATCTTGCTGATCAGCCAGGCAATTTCCTGTCAAATCATCATGCCATTTAAAATTTCTTACATTTCCGACTTATACTTGACAATTAAATGATCAATACTTACAATTGTTCGTTTCCATTAGCAACTCCAATAAACTCGGC